CAGAGGTGGGAATCGTTGAGAGCAATGCCCGACACCACTGGCTCCCCCACCACGCGCTGCCCTGATATGAGCAACGCATCAAAGTAACAGATGCATGCAGGTATGAGTTGAGATTTCTCCACATGCACCTGCTTGAGGGTAGATGCGAGGGCTGAAGATGTGAGGGAGATCTCTTTGCCTCACCTCTGCACCTGGCGTCAGCCACCTCCCTGACTGCCCTCTCACTCATTCATGACACATCCACCACACCACGCACAGTCAGGGGTGCTATGAAACGGGCTCACCAGGCCACACACTCAGCGCCCCACCCCTCCCCTCCGCCTCACTCCTGCAACACCTCTGCGCCTCGCCCCTGCCACCTCTCTGGCGCCCCCCCTTCCTCATGCCATGCTCTGAGTAAATGCTCAGAGTAAACGGCTCACCAGGCCATGCAGTCATCCCCACCCCTATGCCCCACCCCCACACCCCCCCTCACCTCTTCGCCTGGCCTCGGCCACCTCCCTGGCAGCCCCAGCGCTCATGACATGCACCACGTACAGCGGCACGCCCACCACATTCGCCAGCCGAATGGCCCTGCCAGTCGCCTCCTCCTCCACCTGCACGCCACGGCACATGGGCAGAGAAGCATAGGGGTTGCTCTAGTGACGGTTGGGATAGGGGTGTTTGATGGCGGAGGGGAACAGGAGTTTCTCAGGCAAAAAACTAGAGCTTGAGACGAATGGGATGGCCCTGCCTGTCGCCTCCTCCTCCACTTGCACGCCACGGCACATGGGCAGAGAAGCATAGGGGTTGCTCTAGTGACGGTTGGGATAGGGGGGTTTGATGGCGGAGGGGAACAGGAGTTTCTCAGGCAAAAAACTAGAGCTTGAGACGAATGGGATGGCCCTGCCTGTCGCCTCCTCCTCCACCTGCATGCCGTGCCACGGTGCCAGGCAGAGAGATTTCGGGTAAGAGCAGGACAGGGGCTGCTTTGGTGACGGTGCTTTGGTCACATCTGAGTGAAGGAAACAACCAGAGCCCAGCCTGAGCCCAACCAGAGCCCAACCTGAGCCCAGCCCAGCAGGAGCAGCAGAGGGGGCAAAAGCTCTTGGGACAAAAGTGAACGCACGCACCTCAGGAGGGCGGGACAAGGGGTGGCCTTCGGGGCCGGTGATCCCAAGGTCGAATATGTGCTGCTGCCCCCACACCACTGCATCGCCGTTCTCTGCATGCACCTGTGCGCACACACGGCAAGAGGTGGGAATGGGGAGTTGAAGCTGAGATTTGGTGAGTCTGATGAGTTGCAATGAGTTGAGTAGAGTTGAGAAGGTATAGCTGTGATACCACTGCATGCACCTGTATACACCAACACACGCACATGCACACGCACGCACACGCACACTTACAAACACGCGCACGCTGCTCCCCTCCCCCACACCCACACCCATTCACCCGTTCACCACACCCCCCCCCCCCCCTCCCCCCTCCTCCTCCCCCCCACCCCCAAACCCCCCCTCCCCCCCCCCCCCAACCCCCACACGCGCACTCACAAGCGCACACCTGGGGGATGGCGCCGAGGTGCTTGCAGCGAGTGAAGCCATCGAGTAGCTGCTGGTCGTCCACCTGCAGAGCGCCCTTGTACGCCATGAAGAACTTGAACGAGTTGATGCCTGGCCGGGGATGAGTTGAATGAGTACATCAGGAGTTGGAGAGGAATCAGGAGCACTAGCAACGAAGGGTTTGAGACATCACCAGTCTCGTCCACCTGCAGAACGCCTTTGTATGCCACGAAGAACTTGAACAAGTCGATGCCTGAAGTGGGTATGCCGATCAAGCATTGGAATGGGTACGAGAGGAGGAGGAGCAATGGATAAGAAGGTGTGAGCCCAGCACAACCACACACATCCCTTCCCCTCCTCTCCCTCCACATACCATACCATCCCATCCCACCCCAAATAGCCCCACCTCACCTCACTTCACCCCACTGCAACTCACCTCGCTTCACGACCTCCTCCATGTCCCTTGCCACCTCCTCACTCCACCGTGTGACACCCATGTGAAACCCATAGTCCATCACGGCATTGCCCTTCGCCTTCCCCTCATACTCCTCCAGGATCCGCAGCAGATCGCCCCCTGAAGCGGGCGTGGCTCCCAGCACATAGTCAATGTGGAAGGTGGTGCCTCCTGCCAGTGCTGCTGCCTGGCCCGAATAGAAATCATCGCATGATTCTGTCCCCATGAAGGGCATGGCCAGATGGGTGTGCGGGTCGATGCCTCCTGGGGATAGAGAGAGAGGGACGGGAGGGAGGGGAGAGGGGAGAGGGGAGGAGAGAGGGGAGGGGAGGGGAGGGGAAGGAAGGGGAGCGGGCGGGGAAGTGTGGGTTGGAAATGGGGAGCGAGGGGAACAGGGAGGGAGCAGAAAGCATAGTCGATGTGGAAGGTGGTGCTGCCTGGCCCGAGTGGAAATCATCGCAGGACTCTGTTCACATGAAGGGCATGGCCAGATGGGTGTGTGTGAGGGTCGATGCTTCCTGGGGAGAGAGAAGGAAGGGGAGGTAGAGCAAAGAACGGGTTGTGAAATCTTGGATGTGCAGGGTGGCTCGGTCGCCTGGCAGCACTGTTGCCTGGCCAAAGTAAGAATGCCACATGAATTTGGCCTCCCTGAACTCGTCATAACAAACTCGACCCTATGAACTCAGTCCCGTTAACACGTCACAACGAACGGCGAGTAAGTGTGCGTGCATGTAGCCAATACATTCCGTGCAACCCCACGAACATTCAATGGCACCTGGCATGACGTATTTCCCGACAGCATCGATCTTCTGAACCCAATCTGGAACCTGCCAGCCACGTCAGCAGAGCCAAATCATAACAGACAGCATGAACACGTTAGTAGCAAGACGAGTCATACCGTATCACACCAAATTTGCAAAGCATGCAGCGAACGGTTAGAAAGGCATTCTTTGCACTCAATATTGGTGTGGTCATGTTTGGAGCGGAATTCGCTAGCAGAATAAGTCACCTTGATATTTGGCCGAACGAGCTTGATGGTTCCATCCTCTATATAAATGTCTGCAGCGACTTCGCCGTCCGCGTTTACGACAGTGCCTCCTGCTATAAGCAGGTGCGAGCGAGCTTCAGGCGACGGCGAGATTACGTCAGAAGACACGGCGGAGCAGAATGGAGGTGACGGTGACGGTGACGTTGACGGAGCCGCCTGATACATGAATGAATCCACCAAGAAAACGTTAGCAGCTGACACATGTCGTGGATGAGGGAACGTGTCAATGCCATTGTAAAGCCCTCGATACTAGAATCAGTATGTGACAATGCTAGCTAGTGAAACCAAAGAAAGATAACACGCTACCACGGTTGCTCAACCTGGAAACTGGAGCAATGAATCACGCACAAAGCACCGACACGGATACAAGCAGAGACGTGAATTCCTTGCATTCTAGCTAGAAAAATCCCTTATCTATCGTGAAGCGCGGCAAGAGGCACGATACGGACTACATGAGAACCACTAGCGGCTGACAAACCTTGCAAGAAGAAACGGAAGCGACCAGCCAAAGCGCCAGGACCATCAAGCCCATGGCTTTCATGGCTGCAATCGCCTAGCGACGCGCGAAAAGCGAAATCTCACGACTGCTGACGAGCGACGAGCGACGAACGACGACCGACAGTCTCTTAGAAAGGCCTTCTTGGAATGACCGTATGCAGTAATGCGACTGGCTGGCGGCAACTCTGGTGGCGAGCAAGCGTGAAAGTGGGTGTCAACTGGAATTGCGACTTCGGTTTTGTTCCCGCCCCTTGGGAACTCAATTCCAACATAGTAAGTCAGGAGTGGTGTACATCTTCATTTGTGATGCCTTCATAAACATTTAGCGACAAATAGTTGATTTACAGTAACGAACATTGTAATAAGTCTTAGCTGTCTGGTTTGAGTATGTGCATGTCAGCCAGGGCTTCAGATTCGTTTTGGGGCACACTTTGTAATCAGGGTTGTAGGTGTAGTCAAGTATGATGTCTAGGGTAAAAAAAAAAATTCCCTAACAAAGGCAAGGTAATTTTTTTTTTTGGCCTGACGAAGGCAGGGTAAAATCTTCGCTACGCTGAAACATTCAGAGTAATTTTGGCCTTACACTGATTTCACCAGCAAATCCATTTTCGCCCCATGAGTTCACATTACATAATCACAATGTGCAATGCACCAGCTACATAATCCTTTGCACACATTCCAGCACCTGCAACCACTACTCATTCGCCAACAGGGTCAGAGGACTCTTGAACGGCTTCAGCGAAAATAGCCTCGCCCGGGATTGTGCCACTGAAGTCCTTAGTCGCTCTCCGCAGCTTCTCTCCCCTGAAGATGGACACCACCTCGTACCAGTCCACGTCGTACTGTAGCAGGGAACAGCGCATCAAATGCTCCAGGGTGATGTCCGAGATGCTGCCACGGTCCCACGTCTTGATCAAATTCTGCTTGCTGAACCCCCTCTCACACTCGACCGTGCTCAGTGGTAGGACGGCAACTGCCTGCCACATCTTCATCAAGTTCGGGAACGAGTGCTGCCAGTCGTTGTCACAAAGCATGTTCCCGAGTGCCTGGTGAAAGTCCTCGTTGTTGTGTTGAGAGTACATTGTTGGGGTGAACATCCAGAGCTCGCTCTGTGCTCTGGTGTAGTCGAATCCTGTTGTACGGGTATGGGTTTACATGGGGCTATACTCGCAGCAATCGGGTGGAAGGGTGAGGATAAAAAAAAACAATCCAGGAGATACACAAGCGATCAGACGAGTAGTTATGAGAGTGTGCCGATCGTTACGGCTGAATAAAGCAGAAGCAGATGGGAAAACAACGCTGAAGGGAATGGGCCAAAACAGTCAGGTACAAACCATGAGGTCTACGAGCATACATGGAAGCTTCTTCCTGTAGAGCTTGTGCAGTTGAGCCAGCCATTTTTTGAAGTTTCCCACACGTTTGGCATCGTCGGGTACGTATGAGGCTGACCGAAATAGCTTACACCCCTCCAGCTCCTCCAGGTCTTTCATCCGCCACTCCAGCTCCTTGTCGACAGCACGCACAAACTTCAGCGACAGCTCGAAACAAGCCGTTACATCTCCGTCCGTCTCCTGCCCTTCGATGGGATTCTCGTGCAGCGTATAACTGAATTCCACAGGGTTGCCGTCACTGTCCACGCCCTCTGCCTTCACCTCCCGCTTGTCCATCTTCTGATGACGCTGAATGAAGTCGTTCAGTGTCATCTTCTCTCCACTCCCGAAGTGATGATCCGGCTCAAAGTTTAAGTACCGGTTCTTGATGCACATCCGTGTTTGGTCCACGAGATGCGACACGAGCGTGACGTCGATCTGTTCAGACAGTACAGACGACAGGGTTAGCGACACACCTTTCTGGGCGTAAGCAGTCTATATACTTCAGATTCGTTTACCTGCCGTTGCTGGAACCGTTGGTTCAGATGGTTCAGCTCCCACAACACGTCAGCAAGCAGCCGGAGCAACCACTGAAACTTGAACGACGTGGCGATCTCGTACAGGTCGTTGTTGTACTCTTTGAGCACCACGATGGCTGCAGGCAGGATCTCGAGGAAGCGTCGGACGGCCTCACCACGTGACAGCCAGCGAACGGTGTGTATACCTTGTGCCTCCAGGTTTGTCTTGCAGAAAACATGCTGAATGTTATGAAACTTCTCGTACTTGACGTTGGATCGCGAGATGAGATCTGCAAAGCCACGGATGACGTCGTCAACCATGTAAAGTTCAGGCACAGCATCCGCGGCATCGCTTGCGGCTAGAGCCTCCCTGCCAAGTAATCAAAGTACGAGTTGTGAGTAATGAAGTTAAAAATGGTGCATCGCTTTCCCACCGAGTGCATGGAGAGACACTCACCGTGGATTTGGTCTGTGCTCTCGTCCAGTGACAAGCCAATCCAAGGCGACTCCAGCAAGTGCGATCGTTGCAGTTTTTGTAGGTACGTTGAGATGGCCCGGAGATTCTCTCTGAAGCCATATCTGCACATAACAACAGATAACAACATCAGTATATGTGAATATCACCCGTGGCTACCGTTAAAAAAACAAGCGCTTACTCAGTGTAGTAGGCGCCATATCTACCACCGTTCGGAAGGTCTGGAAGGCCTTCCTTTGCCAAGAACCAGCAGAGCGGGATGAACATCGAGATCGGTGCATCCGCCCTGCAGATAAAAAGCGCAATATGAAGCACGCGAATGATGTGACGCATAGACGCGTCAGTTGACTGCCACCGTGTTAGTTTCGCCTGTTTCTCCTTCTCAGCTGCAGCTTCTTCTTGGTTCTTGACCGCGATCTTGTGGGCTCGTGTTGAGGAATGGGCCCGGACGCTTCCTATCTGCAGGTCGCGGCCACCTTCACCTCTCACACCATAGCTAGTGTGAGCTGCGGGGTCGCCATGCTGCACACAAATGTCACACTTGAGTTTTGCTTCTCCGTTAGGCATCCGAATAAGACGCAACCACTTGAATTTACCCTGCCACTCCGTCTCAAAGCGATGCTTTATGGTCTCGTAGAGAACGTCACCGGTAGTTTTAGCGGGCGCCTCGTCTTGGGTCGCTACTGGACGTTGCGGTGAAGCTTCTTTGCGGGGTGGCGGGGCTCCCCATAGCCGCTACTGCGTGTACTTCGTTCCCACACGCGGGCGTTTCCCCGGGGTGCTGCTCACAGTGGACGGTGAAGCCGCGGAGGGTCTAGACGACCCTTCACCACCGCCTGGCACGAGAACAATTGACGGGTGCGGCTCCCAGTCAGCAGGAGTCGACGGCGGCTCGAACGGGTATACAATACCCACACTACGCACGGGAGAAGCGGGTGGTGGCAACGGCGAGATGGGCACGCTGTATGTCTCAGAAGGGGGAGGAATAACTCCCAGCACAGAAAGGCCATTACGCACTACCGCAGGAGATTGAGGAGTTTGCTCGGCATGCATGACTACCACATGTGAGAGACCTCCCAGTGGGTGGTTCTCACACTGAGGGTATGAGAAGGATGAGAAAGATGGGGTGTTCTTGGGATAACGACCCCCTCCTCCAACACCCGTGATGACCCCGGAGCGCGTAATTGCATGGCTCACGGTGGTCACTTGTGGCTGCCAGGGTGTGTTCTGTTCAGCACGAAAGGAGGATGGCAGCCCCGCTGTCCTGTCGGCGCGCTACTAGACAAGTCTGGCAGTTGTCAAATGCTGCTCTGGCCTTGATTCTGTGTTGCGCTGGCATGGTGGCTGCCTGTTCCACCAATGTTGTACTTTCGTGGCAGGACGCGTGGAAACTCGCGTGACTCCACCTGGGGGTGATATTGTTTTTTTGTGACTGGTGGTCTTGTCCGTTTCACATTCTGTTAAGTTTTGAAATCCTCGCTTGCAAGAAATCCGTATCAGTGTAACTGAAAAAGTACCCTGTACAGTCAGGGAAAAATTTGTGGCACGCTGTATTTCAAAGGGGAAAAAAAAATTACACTTAATGGCCTAGGGTAAAAATCCCACTACCCTGCCTGGGAAAGGGTAACTGAAAAAAAGCGGCCGCTAGTCAGTGCAAAAAGGGTATTTTACCCTGATAACGGGAGCCCTGATGTCAGCAACACGGTTCCTTACGTGAATCGGGATATACAAAGACGTTTTTAAAAAAGTCATTAACGACATTCCAATAACACATGAAATGTTCCTCTTGTCGATCAAGAGGCTGGGAAACTGAAATCGGGGTACCTTGTTCTACTCCATGCACTATCCAGCTTCACCCATTGCCACCACTTAACCTCTCGGCTATCCCTTCAGGCGTGCATTTCTACAAGAAAGGAAGCAGTGGTCATGAAAGCAAGGGTGAGGGAGGGAGGTAAGTAAGTGGGGGTGGGGGAGGTCACATGCATGGAATATTGAAGGTTTAGGTAGAGGCATGAGGTGGAAGAAGGAAGATGGACGAGACCAGATGTTACTCGCAATGATGTATCGTGCAGGCAAAGTCAAGTACGAATTGGCTACTAGACCACTCACTTAATCTGCTCTTCCCTCCCCAGCAGTTGGTCCCTTTCACCCAGTGATCTGATTTGGGCATCTCTGAGCAAACTCTTCTAGCGAGCCAACCCCGTTCCCCTCTCCCACCACCGTACTCACTCCAACAACCCACAACAACACCCCTCTCCCTCCAGCAACCCCACTCACATCAGCAACTACCCCGTTCGGCCATGGCTTAAAAGCCAGACACTTCCTTGCTGCCTAGTGCAGCCACCGTCTTCCCCCTCTCACCACCATGCACACAGCAGCAACCATCACCATCACACATCTGATTGCAATAGACTCAACAAACCTTCTCACCTCAGCAGATGCCCCTTTCGTCCATGGCTTTAAAGCCGGACACCTCCTCGCCGCCTCTGCCAGTGCAGCCACCCCCTCCTCCTTCTCCCACCAACTGTCGCTCGGCTCGCCCAGTGTACATGTGGCGAACCCTGATTGGCTGATACCAGGGAAGCGTGCCAGCCTGGCGGTCTCCACGGGTAGGTTGATCCCCGGGCGGGACGACGCGACGCTATTGGCTGTGGCAGTGATAGCCCGGCGCGGGTCGAGGATGTAGCGCCGTGAGCCTTCCTCGTCCAGGCATTGGCTGGCGCTGTAGACATCTGTAGCAGAGCACACCGGGTGGGGCCACCTGCGGGAAACGCGAGGGGAAGAAGGAAGAGGGGGGGTTGCATACAAAGGGAAGGAGAGAAAGGTGAAGGGGCAGTAGGGACTTGTTGGGCTGTTCGTGGTGCAAAAGCAGTCTGTTGCTCTGCGCATTTCTGTGCAGCACTTCCACACCAATGTGAACTGCACCCTCACTCACCAGCACCACATTTCACCCACCTGAACCGCATCCTTTCCACAGCAAAAGCAGCTTTGGCCTCATTAGCAGCCATCGCAGCAGCCCGCTTCCTCTCCTCCTCCCCCTCCTCCCCGCCCCCATTCCCCTCGCCCCCTCCCCCACCCTCCCCCTCCCCCTCCCCTCCCCCTGCTGCCTGCGGTGGCAGCTGTAGCGGCGAGCAGAATGAGCCGTTGAAGGCTGTAGCACCAAAGGTCAGCCATGGGAGCGACTCGTGCTCCTGTAGCAACGCTGGCAGCGAGAGGGGTGGCGGGATTTGGAGGTACTCGTCGATGTCAGACACGAGCAGCCAGCGGGCGGCGTTGCGTGTCCGGTATATGCAGTCCTGGATGGCAAGATGCTGGGCGGGTTGGGGAAAGGAGGGGTGAGGTGAGAAGCAGGTGAAGGTTGGATTCTCGTGACTTTTGAGTCGACTCAAAAGTCACCTTGGTGAGAAGCAGGTGAAGTGAAGATTGAATTCTCATGGATGGACAGGTGTGGGTAGAAATTAAGATGCTTTGGGCAACAGATCCAACTATCCAACTACCTGGATGGACAGGTTTCGGACTACTATCGTGCTCTGCTTCGGACAGTATATTGCTCACATACCAACCTGCCCCCCATTCCCCTTCCCCCCTGATACATACCTCGCCGTAGTTCCACACGTCCCACTGCAGCACAGACACCTCCCCCCCCTCACCTCCTCGCCCCCTCCCCAAGTACATACCTCGCCGTAGTTCCACACGTCCCACTGCAGCACAGACACCTCCCCCCCCCTCACCTCCTCGCCCCCTCCCCAAGTACATACCTCGCCGTAGTTCCACACGTCCCACTGCAGCACAGACACCTCCCCCCCCTCACCTCCTCGCCCCCTCCCCAAGTACATACCTCACCGTAGTTCCACACGTCCCACTGCAGCACAGACACCTCCCCCCCCTCACCTCCTCGCCCCCTCCCCAAGTACATACCTCACCATAGTTCCACACGTCCCACTGCAGCACAGACACCTCCCCCCCCTCACCTCCTCGCCCCCTCCCCAAGTACATACCTCACCGTAGTTCCACACGTCCCACTGCAGCACAGACACCTCCCCCCCCTCACCTCCTCGCCCCCTCCCCAAGTACATACCTCGCCGTAGTTCCACACGTCCCACTGCAGCACAGACACCTCCCCCCCCTCACCTCCTCGCCCCCTCCCCAAGTACATACCTCACCGTAGTTCCACACGTCCCACTGCAGCACAGACACCTCCCCCCCCTTACCTCCTCGCCCCCTCCCCAAGTACATACCTCCCCGTAGTTCCACACGTCCCACTGCAGCACCTCTCGGAACCCCCACGTCACGTCCACCATGCCCCTCTTGACCCTTGGCGCCAGCACCCGCTGCACCTCCTTGTGCCCCGGGCCTGCCTCCCCGTTGCCCGCGATGCCCCCCGCATCGTAGAGCAGGAAGCGGTCGACAGGGAGCAGCACGCGGTGGAAGTGCAGCCACTCTAAGAGCCTCCTGGCGTCGATGGTGTCGTGGATGGGGGAGACGCATGCTGCAACGTTGAGAGGGAGGGGCGAAGAGGCCTCCAGAGGCTGTGGAAGTGGGGGAGGAGAGAGGGAGAGAAGAGGAGGGGGAGGGGGAGGGGGGGTTGAGAGCCACTTGATATGTGGTAAACGCGCGCCCACCACCCCCTTTCTGCATCGTAGAGCAGGGAGCGATCGACAAGCAGCAGCACACGGTGGAAGTGCAGCCACTCGAGGAGCCTCCTGGCATCGATGCTGCCGTGGATGGGCGCCACACAAGCTGCAACGTTGAGAGGGAGGGCCGAAGGAGGACCCAAAGGCTGGGGCAGTGGGGTGGGAGGAGCAAAAGGAGGGTTCCACGGAGAAAGCAATAGGCTCGGAACCGCCCTGACGTTTCCTGAGGAAGCCCCACACTATCACCCCCCCTTCCCCCCCCCCTCTCCCCTCCCTACACAATAGAACAGAAAATGGTCGACGGGGAGGAGGGCGTGATGGCAGTGCTTTGTAGGGTGGGGGTATTGGGATAGCAGTGAGTGGGGTTGAGGGGGCGAGCAGCGAGTTAGTTTGTGGGGGGTGTGCTCTTGATGCACGTGTGCGTCAAAGACAAGGTGCAGGCTTGTGAGTTTGCGGGAAGAGAGGCAGTTGGTGTGGGTGGATTTGGTGTGGAGAGTGAAAAGCTCGTGGTGAGAGTTGGTGTGGGTGGAGAGTGGGATTTGGCGGGCCGTCAAGGCAACGAGCGGAGATATCTAGGACCTGAGTTAGCCATACAACAGCAGGATAGGTAACATATCTCACCTCACTCTCCTCCTCTCTGTACGGGAACAATATCTCCTGCTCTATCCTCGCCTCCAGGTGGCCTCCTGCCTTGGTGGCACTGTCCAATGTGCACAGCAGCACTGCTACGTCATACTGCCACGTAGGCATGGAATGGGGAGGAGAGTAAGGGTTGGGAGGAGAAGGTAGCAGGAAAAGAGGGGGGGGAAATTGGGAGAGCTGTATAATCAAAAACAGTATCATGATGACTGTCATCATGTGCTGGGAATAGAAATGATATACGTGCATCCTCATCCACTTGTCATTGGATTGAATCAGAACACAACGGTTTACAATGTAGTTGTGATGCGTTCCGACGAGGCTGATCGTGAGGTCTCCCCATTGATACACGCGCCATCAGAGCCGTGCCATGCAAGACAGTTTTTGAGGCGCCTCAAAAACCACCCCGAGGCGCCTCAGAAACCACCTCCTTTTGAGGCGCCTCAAAAATGCCCACGAGGCTGATTGTGAGGTCTCCATTGATACACGCGCCATCAGAATCGTGACACGTGCTCAAGACAGCTGGCACTCATGTTACCTTTGGCTACTTAGAGTAAAGCGCAGGCTTACGATGTAGTTGTGGTGCTTGCCCACAAGGCTGATTGTGAGGTCTCCATTGATACGCGACCCATCGGAGCCATGCCACGTGCAATCCGTGAGGCGCGTCTTATCCTCCATGGCGACAGGCACCATGCCTATTATGGCTATTCGCCGCGCATTCATGCGGTAGGCACTGGGGGGTGCATGCAGGGGATGGGAGGGAGAGGAATGAGGGGAGAGGAAGCCATGCCATGCCATGCCATGCCATGCCATGCCATGCCATGCCATGCCATGCGATGCCATGCCATGCCATGCTATGCCATGCCATGCCATGCCATGCCATGCCATGCCATGCCATGCCATGCCATGCCATGCCATGCGATGCCATGCCATGCCATGCTATGCCATGCCATGCCATGCCATGCCATGCCATGCCATGCCATGCCATGCCATGCCATGCCATGCCATGCAGTGTCGTGCCTAAGCTGTGCTCTCACCGTAACTATGGAATCATTTACAGCCAATGCAAACTCTCAAATCAAGCTGCGCCCACCTGAACTCCGGGCTCACCTGAACTCCGGGCTCACCTGAACTCCGGGCTCACCTGAACTCCGGGCTCACCTGAACTCCGGGCTCACCTGAACTCCGGGCTCACCTGAACTCCGGGCTCACCTGAACTCTGGGCTCACCTGAACTTGGCAAAGCCGTACGCGCCGTATTTCTCAAACACGCGCTGCCGCCGGTACTGCGGGTGGTCATCCATGCAGCGTCGTGCCAATACTTTATAACCACCTGAACTTGACAAAGCTGTAGGCGCCATACTTCTCAAACACGTGCTACCGCCAGTACTACGGGCGGTCATGACTGTCGCGACTGCTGCCGCCATTGCCAGCGCCAGTAGGACAAGCTTTGAACTCAGCTGAACTTCCGGCTCACCTGAATTTGACAAAGCCGTAGGCGCCATACTTCTCAAACACGCGCTGCCGCCAATACTGCGGGCGGTCGTCTGTGATCTTCCACCGTCTGAACCCGTTCCTCCGCCATGGTCGGTGGTATACCCCGCTCCCCCGCCCCCCACTGCCACTGCTGCTGTTGCTGCTACCGCCAGCTTCAACAACAACAGCAGCAGTGGCGGCGGCAGCAGCGGCGGCGGCGGCGGCAGCCCGAGCGTTGTTCTCCCGTGCCTGCCGCTGGAGAGAGGAGAGGAGAGGATGAGGGTGGAAAGGCGCAGCAGGGATGATTTGATATTTCAGTCGACTCACAAATTGGCAGCGGCAGCCAGAGTGTTGGCGTTGTTCTGCCGTGCCGCGTTTTGAGTCAACTCAAAACCCGTGCCTCCTGGTGGAGTGTGGAGGGAGGAAAGAATTTGGATGAGGGTGGAAAGAAGGAAGCAGGATGAGGACAGGGAGGGAGGTTTGGGGGAGGGTGAGGAGGGAGGGGGGATGAGGAGAAATGGGGATGAGAAAAGCTTGCAGCTTTGCGGCCTTGCTGCTCCCCAGCTCCTTCTGAGTCGACCCAAAAGTCGCTCCTCAGCTCCTTTTGAGTCGACTCAAAAGTGCTCCCCACCTCCTTTTGAGTCGACTCAAAAGTCACTCCCCAGCTCCTTTTGAGTCGACTCAAAAGTCACTCCCCAGCTCCCTCACTGCGACTCTTGGGCCCTATGTTGCTTTTGCTTCTGACTTAACTCGCCCATAAGAAAAGAAAGAAAGCAGGAAAGGGAAAATATAGAAGGAAGGAAAGAAGGAAAGAAGGAAGGAAGGAAGGAAGGAAGGAAGGAAGGAAGGAAGGAAGGAAGGAAGGAAGGAAGGAAGGAAGGAAGGAAGGAAGGAAGGAAGGAAGGAAGGAAAGAAAGAAAGGACGATAGAAAATAAAGTGGAGGGTCACCCTCCATCGCCCTCCACTCACCTGCAGCCGAGCCACAGACACGATCTGCTGAGCAAGCTCCACGCCATGCAGGCGAACACGGGCTTTGAGCTCTTGGATCTCCACCTGCAGCTGCTGCAGCCCCTCCTGCCCCTCCCTCAGCACCTGCGCTGCGTCCCCCGCCCACCCCCCACTTCTCTTCTGATTTCCTCCCTGCCGCAACTTTCGAGACGTCTCAAAAGTCACCTGCGCTGCGTCCCCCGCCCACCCCCACGCTTCTCTTCTGATTTCCTGCCTGCCGCAACTCAGAAGCTCTAAGCTGTTCCTACTCCTTGAAAAGAATGCATACTACCCTCCCTCCATCCCCCTGTGTAGTGAGTCGGTTTTTGAGTCGACTCAAAAACCGACTTCCTACTCCTTGAAAAGAATGCATACTACCCTCCCTCCACCCCCCTGCTTCTCACCTGCAGCCGAGCCAGGGTCATCATCTGCTTCTCACCTGCAGCCGAGCCAGGGTCATCATCTGCTGAGACAGCTCCTCCCCTTGCCGGCGCACGCGGGCTTTAAGCTCTTTGATCTCCGCCTGCAGCTGCTGCAGCCCCTCCCGCCCCTCCCTCAGCACCTGCGCCGCGTCCCCCGCCGCTTTGCTGCTTGCCAGGCGCAGCTGCCCCACCTCCTGTGCCACCCCCTCCATGCCCACAGCCAGCTGCTGCCGCACCTGCTCTGCGTCTTCTTGCATGGCGCCTGGGGGGCAGCAGAGAGCGAAGAGTGGGGATAGGATAGGGAAAAGAAAAGAGGGAGGCGAAGGCATGGGGGAAAGCACATGGGAAAGGAAAGTGGGAGGAGAGCGGGGACTGTTATGGTGAGAGGAAAGGCGCCGCCTTGCTGCTGGCCTGGCGCAACTGCCCCACCTCCTGCGCCACCCCCTCCATGCCTGCTGCCAGCTGCTGCTGCACCTGCTCTGTGTCCTCCTGCATGGCGCCTGGGGGGCGGCGGGCATGGGGTAAGGCAGAGAAGGGGAGAGAGGACGGGGGAAAGCAGATCGTGGGGGAGGGCACGGGGGGAAGAGAGAGGGCAGAAGGACGGTGAAGTGAAAGGGTTCTTCTCCAGGGTGTCATGAAGGAAAAGAAGAAGGCAAAGGGGCTTTCAAAAGTTCGTATGTCCTAGCGCTCTTGAATTCCGCAAGGGGAAAGAGCGGGCTGGCTTACGGTGGAGAGCAGCAATGTCAGCTGCGGTGTACGCCAGCATGGCACGCTGACTCAGCTTCGTCCCGATTGGCTGCTGCAGAATGGGTATTCCAGTAAAGAGGGCAAGAGGGGAATGAAACATGGTAAGGTGAGGAGGACTAAGGAGGCAGAAGTTGATGATGGCGGTGAGGAGGTGAGGAGAGTCAAGTCGAGATGCTAGAAAAAGGGACAGAGAGAGGCAGGGGTATAGTAACATTGTGTTAGAGAAAGTGGTGGTCGTCATGGACAGCAGGTGTCGGGTATCATGCATCACATCATGCATCATACATCGCATCATGCATCATACACCCATCACACGTTATGCACCACATGCTGCGTACGCCTGTCTTTGCAAGGCTGGCAAAGCCCTCGGGTGGCAGGTCCAGGGCGCTGAGCTTCTCCACCCATGTCACTCGCAGCTGGGGGTTTCAGGAGGCACACAGGCATGCACACAGACGCACAGGAGGTCACGGGCATGGGGATGGGGATGGATGGGGATGGGCATGGGCACGGGCAGGTCCAGGGCGCTGAGCTTCTCCACCCAAGTCACTCGCAGCTGGTCGTGGGGCATGCCAGGCGGTACACGCCCATGCAGACGCACAGGAGGGCATGGGCATGGCATGGGCATGGTTGAGTGTGGAGGCACGCGGTTGTGCAGGAGATGTAAGGAGATGCATGACATGGCTCATTGATGCATGACATGGCTCATCGATGCATGACATGGCTCATTGATGCATGACATATCTCATTGATGCATGACATGGCTCATTGATGCATGACATATCTCATTGATGCATGACATGGTTCATTGATGCATGACATATCTCATTGATGCATGACATGGTTCATTGATGCATGACATGGTTCATTGATGCATGACATGGTTCATTGATGCATGACATGGTTCATTGATGCATGACATGGTTCATTGATGCATGACATGGTTCACTGATGCATGACATAGCTCATTGATGCATGACATGGTGAATGCAAAGTCGAGCAACGCAACGCTTAAAAATGGGGGAAACACAAGTTGAATGACGAACCTGCAGCAGCGAGACGAGGAAGAAGAATGCGAGCACGGCGAGAAAGAGGTGTTGCTCCTGCCGTGCATGACAGACAGTTGGAGGATGACATGACAGCAGGGGGAAAGGGAGCATGAGGCATCATGACACTTTCTGAGGCGGCATGAAAATCAAAAGAAGGCGAGCACGGCGAGGAAGAGGTATTTCTCCTGCCGTGCACGCGTGGTGCAAGGCACGCGTGGTGCCAGGCACGCGTGGTGGTGCCAAGGGTAATACAGGTGGTAAGAGGCGGTGGTACGAGGGAGTGGAGAGAGGGGGTGAGCGGGTATGGTAAGCAGGCGACGTAAGAAGGTACGTGGCTGTTTTAAGCGGAGCTAGTTCAGCGACGATGTTGCGGAACGGAAAGCATTGTAATGGGGCTTTGCGAAGACGGAGTTTCGGGAATGGAGAGACAGCGTTAGCCACTGCCATGCTAGCCGTGATGGCATGAACAGTGGAGTTCTGCCGACGCACAATCTCATTCTCACGCCCAACCGAGAAAACTTTCCATGTGCGCGGCTGGCCGGGCTCGTCCATTAGCGTGTGCAATGGACGACCTTCAATCGGCAGTCTTCCAAAGATGCAAGGTGAAGCTCTGAACTCAATAGGAAAGAGTGTTATATGAAAAAATATTTCCTTTGAGGGACTCACTGGCAGGAGAATGCGAGACATGATGGCCTTTCAGTAATGCGGGTACACAATCAGCGGCGTCAGGGGATTATGTTTAGCTTGAAAACCATTTACACGAACGATGGAGGACTAGTCGAGTCGCGCGATTAATTTCGTAGACTTTGTTCTACTCCACATAAGCGCTGCGCTATTGGACGCGTAATGCACTCGTCTAGTGTCTCGCGTGCGAAATTCTCGCTGAAATGCCACAATCTCAAGACGCAGCAGCTGACTCGTTCCAGGAAACGCTATCAAGGTCCTCATGCTGACCGCCCCTATCCCTCACAGGTGTTGTCGTCCGTACTCTTTATGAAACAGTTGAATGAACGGTGATGCCTGATTTGATTGCAAGGATAGGACCATGCGAGGAATTCCATTTTAGGATTCCAGTATACAGTGCCTGGTCTTTGTCAGTTCGGAAGAAACCCGCTTGAGCCAGCTCGATGTTTGACTTGTGCCAGGTATGTATTCTATTTGTTGATCGATACAGTGCAACAAAAAAAGCAATACTACAAAGAACGTAATGAAGGTTATAATACCTTTAAAACAGCTGGTTTTCTGAATAATTGTTACTATGTAGACTAGGGGACGCATCTTCCATGCAAGCGCTATAAATACACACTCAAGTTCAAACCTACGTAAAATTATCACATTACCAGTAGAGATACGGTAGGATGGAAGTCCAGATTCAAATATGACTTAGTCCACATACAATATAGTGAGCATAGCGTAGTGCGGGGTTTTTTATTAGCACACCAGGATTACTAGCGAGAAAAGCCTGACAGAATCTTACGGGCTACGTGGCGCTGAAGGTGTTCGCCACGTAGGGAGTAGGGTGTGCTGCGAAAGACCTAACAGATTCTTTCGATATTGTATCATGTTCGCAAGAGGGTGTAACCAGCCTCGATACTTTTCAGGCTCACGTGCTTGCGTGTACGCAGCATGAACCACGTCATCGAAGTCACCCAACCATCGAAATCCTTACCTCGGGAATGACATATAAATTCGTGCCAGGACCAATTTGCTGCATTCTTGAGAGACTTCGATCTGCCTGTCTTGTTCGCCAGTCTGGTTCAAATCTCAGGATTGCCATAGCTGCTCATTCCTGCACACTAACCAGAGCGGGTTTCTTGTTCTTCTCGTCATCCTCGAAGCCAGATGGCCACCATGTCGCTTCAAGCTCTCTCGTCCGCGGCCACGCTCGTGCCGTCGCCATCCGTCCTCAAGGCTTCCGCCACCACGAGGACAAATGCCGCGGCTGCGTCGAAGCGGACTGTCGTGCGCGCTCTCAAGGTGCGGGATATCTAGTACGCTGCTCCCCCGCTACTGCCGTACAGTGAAACCAAATTACTTTTCAAACACACCTTCTTTTCGGGTGCTTTCCGCCCCACATGTTCCTGTTGGGCAGAGTGACAGCACCGAGGGTGGTCGCGAGCAGGAGGGCGAGAGCGGCGCCTCGTGGGGGGAGCGATGGCGGCAGCAGCACGCGGCGGCGGCGGTGGCGCTGGCGGCCGCAGCGGCTGTGGCGGGCCCCTTTGTGCCTGATGCCGCATTGGCATACATCGTACGTGAAGTGATATCTGTGGGTGGGGTCTGGGAGGCTGGGGGAATGAGAGCTTTTCGCGCGAACGAAAGGGTTGGTGTGAATGATGGCGACAGCAGCGCGCGGCTGCGGCTGTGGCGGGCCCCTTTGTGCCTGACGCGGCGTTGGCATACATCGTACGTGGAGTGATGCTCATGGGTCGGGCCTGGGAGGCAGGGGGAATGAGAGATGCTCGAGCGAATGAGACGATTAGTGTGAATGATGGCGACAGCAGCGCGCGTCAGCGGCTGTGGCGGGCCCCTTTGTGCCCGACGCGGCATTGGCATACATCGTACGTGGAACGCGAATGAGGTGATACCTCCACACCATACACATGCGTACCTGCATTACGGTTATCTCCCTGTATCCGCCCTTCCTTTCAACACATCCTCCGTTCCGCCGTCCCTGTCTGCCCGTGCGTCCCAGGGAGGAGGTCCGTACGGTCGCGAGGTGACACGTGGCCAGGACCTGACGGGACGGGACTACAGCGGGCTGGATCTGCGAGGCCAGGATTTCAAGACGGTGGGTTGGTTTGATCTGGAAACCGCTCCGTTGACTTGCGTTGACTCCCGTTGATGTGCCCTGATATGAGAGGGAAGGCATGCGATTGGGAGTCCTGTTTGGAATGAATGAGAGAAGCCGTCGATTGATCTGCCTCTCTTACGGTTCTCTGGGTCTGTGCGTGGCCTCACTCGCCCAGCTCCCAGCCAACTCGTGCTGGTCTTTCTTAGTCTCAAACCACTCCAACAGTCTCCCTCTTAAACTCTTGCCTTGTCGGCCAACCGTCTCATTTTGTGACCTCCCACCTCCCTTTCCCTCCCCGTCTCCACCTCCCTCCACCTCCCTCCACCACTCTGCCTGCACCCCCCACCACCCGGCCCACCCACAGTCCATTCTGCGCCAGGCGAATTTCGCCGGGGCGAACCTCATAGGGGCCTCCTTCTTCGATGCCGACCTCACAGGTACCACCTCCCCCTGCCCCTTGCCGTCTCACAGGTACCACCTCCCCCTGTCCCTTGCCGTCTCACAGGTGCCACCTCCCCCTGCCCCTTGCCGTTCCATGGGTACCACCTCACCTCGCCGCCTCACAGGTACCACCTCCCCTCGCCGCCTCACAGGTACCACCTTCCTCTACCCTTGCCATTGCCACCTCACAGATGGCACCTTCCCCGCAAGGAAGGACCCCACAGAGTAACATTTCCACCTCCCTCAACCCTTGCATATGCCATTTTACACCTAGTAACCGAGGTAACACCTCTACCACTGCGCACATGGACCTTTGCAAATGATTTCGCGCAAATGAGCAAATGGGATTGCGCAAATGAACCCTTGCAGGTAAACCCTCACCCTCCTATCCCATTGTTAAACGCTCTCACCATTGCACAGATAGCACCTTTGGAGTGGCGAATGCATCGCGCCCTCCATCTTCCCCTCTCCCCTCAACCCCCTTTCCACGTCTCCTTTCCTGCTCGGGATCTCTTCCATCAGCCTTGCTTTGCTTGCCAACCTCGTACCTCTCCCCCCCCGTTCACCCCCCTCTTCACTCCTTGAGGGGACTTCACGCCGTCCGCCTCCATGCTCCCCGTCTCTCTCCCCCCCAACACACATCAGGAGCGGACTTCACGGGTGCCAATCTCACTGGTGCTGACTTCTCCCTCACCAGCGCAAACAAGGTGCGCACTCAAAAGCACCCAGCGCAGCCAAGCTGGGAAAAGGTGCGGTGGGTGGCACCAAGGCGGCATTACACCCGTCCTGACTCCTGACGCCCTTGCGTCATCCTGCTGTTTTTTTTTTCCTTTGATAACCTTCTCTTGCTCAACTCCCCTCTTGCTCTCTCTCCACCCCCCCCCCCCCCCCCCCCCCCCCCCCCCCCCCTCCCCCTTCCCCCCCCCTCCTCCTCCCTGCTGCAACCTGTCTTCTCCCACGCCTGTCCTTGAGGCGCCTCAGGGCGTGTTGCAAATAAGAGATCGATCGTCTCTTTGAACCGATCCTGACTGCTGTCAAACACTGTAGCGTATGGTTACCATACTACAGTGTTAGCACTGTGCACGAGCGAGGAAACTGGTGATTGTCAGCTCGATCGCCTCTGCAGTGAAGACCGATCGTGAGATTGACAAGCAAAAAACCTACCGTCACCAAATCATTTCGCGACCGGCAGAAAAAATTGCATGCTAGTGTTACATGGGCCTTAAGATTCGACGAGACATTGGCGAACAAGGTGTTCAATGTTTCTGAGTTAGAATAGCGAAATCACACTGTCGCTATTCTCCAGGTGGACCTACCCTTGGGCGGTCGTGGTACAGTTTTTTTTGGCGGATCGAAAATGCAATGAGCCGAATGTTTTTGACAAGGGATCGGTTTACAGCC